AAGTTGTTCAGAATATATTTCAATAAAAGAGATTATCAACTTACTGAACAAAAGAGCAGAATTGAATAAGCATAAAGAGCAAGTTGAAGATTTAGAAAAAAAACTTTGTTAGTTTGACATGAGGAGCAAGAAGAAATTGATAATGTTTCTTGAGAAGATCAATTTCATAACTGAGACTTATTTACAATTATCAAATATTACATTATGTCAACAACACATCCCCACTTGCAACCAGTGAATGCAGGAATTATCAAGTCATTCAAAGCTAAATATAAGCATTTATATTGTCAGCATACTTTTTTGAAAGCGGAACAGCTATTTGAAAGCCTCTTAATTATATATTCTTTGCATTGAATTTTTCTCATGTTAATTTTTTTTTAGGTCCATGTTCAATTGGGATAATGTTGCTCGATCTTGGTCTGATGTAACAACTACAACAACAAAAAATTGCTGGGGCAAGACAGGTATTTACTAGCGACTAAAGTATACAAACAAATCCAGTAATGGATGAAGATGAAGAGCTTGCAAATCCATTTAATAATTTGTTAACTGATGATAATAATCAACAAGTACTGGCTCATAAGGCGGTTTTCTTCTTAGATGGCCTTAGGGATCAAACAAGTACTATTTCATCTCAATTAGATGGATACATACTCAAATAAAGAAAGAAAAATAGGTTGATTATTAATAATAATTCAATAAAGGCGAAGAAGCAAGCATTAAAAATCATTTAATAAAAATTAAAATTGTTATGTTTCATTTTACTATTTTATTTCTATTTACAAACAATTTAAAAAAGAATTTTATTAACCACTTCGGAAATGTTGTCCACTTGATGTCCCATTGTTCCATTCAGCCAACCATTTAACATTCTGACGACCAAAACTCATGGTATTTGTGTAATTGTGGGATTTGAGAGATCTCTTGGTGACTGACATGGTGCGCTGATGACAATCCTTTCATAGGAACACTGCCAACGTTGATCCACTGATGGCAGCTGACGACAGTCTTGATTTTGCTGTGTTGATGATTTGCTGCGTTGACGATTTATATGATGTATACATGCCACCCAAATCCCAAATGTAAAAAATGAATTTGGGGCAGGCTGTC